ATTCCAGGGTTACCGGCGAAGTTGATCCTACGCCATGCGTTGCACGACTGAAACAATACTTCAGAGCCAATCATCCAACACCATCACGAATCACTTTTCGAAGCCAATACGTTCACTCCGACTTGCACACATGTCCCTTCGTTTTCGTGCGCGTCAATGCAGTTCACAAACCTTTGACACCGCCTTACGAAGGTCATCGCTCGCAAAGAAGTATTTCGTATTTTACAGGAATGGTTCAAAAGATTCTGTCAGTATTAATCGCTTTGAACCAGCCTATGTTAAATGGCAGTCGCTGCAACAGACTTCTGACAATTCTGACGCTGTACAAACTCCGCTGCAGAGCACCCCACCCACCCAACCGATGTGTGTCTCCAGTGCTCCCTCTCCTCCATACTCCCTACCCATCACCAACTCGGACGCACAAAAGCGCACACGTTTTGGACGTGCAGTAGTTCTTCCTTCTAGGCTAGCTACTCACGTCAACTAGAACCTATGGAGCATTCATCCTCGTGAATCACGCTCTGTGTGGGGAGTTCTGTAGTGCCTGTAAACTTCATTTTCATTTATACTTTATGGTTCCATCTTCCTTCATTTATTGTACCCTTTTAATTATCTGTATCGATATCATAACTCTTCGAATTTCGTTCGGCGTTCTCGCTTCGGTTCGATACGTGTACGTTCTTTGTGATTGTTCGGCGTGGTTGCTCCTTGTCTAATGAGCGAAGTCGTTGCTTCGGTGAAAATGATTACCAAAGCAAAGCTACCATGGTTGGACTAAGTCGCACACCAGCTAATGAATAGATGGGTGAGATGCTGGCGGATCTACCGGACAGTTCTCTCGGAATGTACTTTTCGGCGTTACTGTGAAGCGCCAACTACTTGCAAGTCATTTACGAGCTACCAGACTTAGCTATGAGATGCATCTGGCTTACTCACCCTCCGCAAATCCCAAACGATTCTTCGCCTACGTCAACAGGCGTAGTAACGTCGACTCATCTATCCCAGTGTTATTAGGCAGCGATGGCGCCACTGCCAACATTGATAACGAAAAAGCCTCTACTCAGTACGCAGTATGCCGGGACTTTTGTTCGGGATGAGCAGTTGTCACGTTAACTTAGCGATGACAGTCTCACAGGACTCCTGTTTAACTGACGTTTCAATTTGGAGGCACAAATTCTCTATCTTCTTCAAAGGCTAAATCCGCTGGAATGGATGATATTCACCCAAAGCTTTTGTACAAACTCGCAAGCGAGCTATTTGGCCCAATGACACGTTTGTTTCAGTTGTCGCCTCGCAGCTGCTCCTTTATCAAGGACTGAAAGGATGCCATCGTCTTCCCGATTTTTAAAAAGGGCGACAGACATCTCCCTGTCAATTATAGACCGGTAAGTTTGACAAGCGTACTGGTCAAGTTATTGGAGAAGTTGGTTAGGGATATGCTTGGAAACCACCTGTGGGAGTTTGGTGTGCTCAGTCCACTTCAACACGGCTTTCTCAAGGGTCACTCCTGCGCCGTCGAGTCGCCCTTTGGGCGGAACGTTTTGTAGAGCAGTTCGGAAGGATGCTGCGACACTACCGTTTGCCTAATCGCCTGAGGCACCGTCGGAAATAGATGTCACACCTTCCACTTGGAAGGTTTTTGACATGGACTTTCCGTTTTGAAACGACACGGAGTCCCAGCACCTGTCGATCTTCCTTTACCTTTGCTGAAAGGTAAAGGTGGTTCTCTGTTGACTGAACTTGATTCTCTATCTAACACAATTTGGAACACTCAACAGGTGCCTTCAGACTGACGCTTCTCAACTGTCGTGCCTGTATTCAAGAAGGGTTAGCGTACTTTTGCGAAATCATCGTGGCATTTGCCTTGTTTCCGTTGCCTCCAAACTTCTCACGGGTATTATTCTCTACTGACATACTGGTGTCCTTGAAAACTGAATCCCTTCAAGCCAACCTGGCTTTCCGCCCTGTTGGTGGTTGTATCTACCGCATATTTACTCTTTGCCAAGTTTTACAGCAGGCATACAGACGACCGACTATAGTGGTTTTCCTTGACTTCAAAGCCGCATTCGATTCTATTGACAGCGGCAGCTTGTGGCACCACCTGTCCATGAACGGTGTGCCAACGAAACTGCTTTCCTTTCTGAAGTGTATCATTATTCCCGAGAACTTGTAAGGGTCTAAGGGAAACTCTCCTGACTTCCTTACGACAAGTGGGGTTCGTTATGTTTCTTTTCCTCTTCAACTTTGTGATAGATATGATCATAAATGACTCCATTCTTTCAGACTCTACCGGGGTGGAAGTTCTGTCAGGGAACCAACTGACAAGCCTGGAGTATGCGGATGACATATTTCTCCTAAGTTCTGATGCGTTGGTTATGCAAACACTGCTGGATAGACTGACTCGTACTGCTGCACACTTTGACATGTGCTTTACACCTTCAAATTTCCAAATATTGTTGCAGGGCTGGGCTGACACACCTTCGGTTTTAGTTATCACCGAGTAGCCCCTGGAGGTGGTGGATCGGTTCCCTTATCTTGGCAGCCGTCACTCCCTAGAAGTCACATCACTGAGGAAGTTAATTCGCGTATCAGCAGGGCCCTTGCGGCTTTTCAGAAACTAAACCATCTATATAGGCCACTGGATATCAGTGTGCTAGTGATAGGTAGGGTTTATAACGCTGCAGTAAGGCCGGTGTTACTGTATGGATCAGAAAATAAACCAGTTTGCGGCGAAGACATTAGACCCTTGGCCGTGTTTGACCACCGGTGATTACGGAGTATTGCTCACGTCTGGTTGTGACACTGGGTCTGCTCGTTAGTTTTTTTTAGCAAGAAGTCTCCTGGTGCCTCACTGGAATGTTTGCTGAGTTCTAATTGGTTACGTTGGCTAGATCATGTCCTCCATATGCCCATTGACCGGTTTCTTCGGCATACGTTATACGCCGTGGCTGCACCAGGTTGAGCAAAACCGCGAGGTAGCCCATACATGACATGGCATAGAGGCATGAAGAAATTGACTGAGACAGTTAATCAAGCGGCTGCGCGCAATCTTCTTGGATGGGGGCTCGGGATGGTCTGCACCAGTGGTTGGCTATCCTGTCAGAGATGGCGCAGTCCTGCAGTCGGTTGCATCTGGGTGTTAATTTTGGTTCCATTCTGATTAGTTTAACGTGCTTCTTGCTTCCAATTTTTACATTTACTTGCATCTAACTCCACTAACTTGCCGTTGTTACAAATGGTTATTCCTGCAATGACTCGTAGCAACTAGATCCACTGCGCATCAGTGCTCAGATTGTAATTGTCCAGCTGTACTAACCTCAACTTAGTGACGTAGAGAAGGCGCATGAAGAAGATAACCTCCAGATTAGCATCAGTCGGACCGGTCACCTTCCGGGATGGGGACGATGCGACTCGGACTAAGTGGTTGTAAAGGCTAAATGCTATACTGCGCTACAAACATCGGTGGCGAGACTGTTGCTCAACCAAATCATCTGTTAATGGGTGTCTAATCGAAAACTCTTAATCACAAAGTGAACGTAAAATAGCATTTGTAAAACCCAACAAATCGTTTACTTCTATTGTATATTTTCTACCGGCCCGCAGCCTTAAGGTGACCAGCTTGTTTTGTAGTCTGGTGGTGCGGGTTCGAACCTGCTTAGGGCGACCCTCACAATATCCTTAGCCTTCGTGCGACGGGTGGTTGTTGCGCGGCAGCGAAGCGTCAGTATTGCGTACCGGCGTACTGATTATGCCTTTTTTCTGTTGCCTTTATTTCTTTTCTTTCATGGTTCTGATGGTACATTTTCTGTTATCTGTTAATGAGAATATGCATATATATATATATACATATATATATATATATATATATGTATATATATGTATATATATATATGTGTGTGTGTATAGTTGCCAGCATCTAGTCCCAGATTTGCCTATCACTTCGACCTCCACCAAGACACCCACAGGACACCTGGGCCTACAGAGAGACCATGGATGGCTTGCTTTGTATCACCCACATTTGCATCCACACACCCCATATTCAGTGTAAACCCGAAGGATTAAGACCACGACGCATGTGCATGGGAGCTATGTTTCACCAACGGAGCAAGCTCTCACTCCTTTAACATGCACAGCAGCAGCATTCCTGTCTGTCTATGTAGGGAATCGTGCATACCGGACGTACACACGACGGGGGACCGACCTTAGTCCGCTCCACATTGGATGGAACCACTCTTTGAGCCTAGCACTTTCACGAGGACCCTACACCTCGTCTCCCCCAGCAACGATTCACGGTATCCTGGCGTCCGCAATCGAGGTGGTGGGTGTTAGACAAGTAGGCACCTTGTCAGCATGCACATCAACCGCAGCCACACCGGGAGCTCAATGAACATGTACTCCCTGCAGTGCAAGAATATTCAACACACAAGCAAACGTACCACATCAGCCGCCTTATTGTCTTGCATTAGTAAATCCAATGTGAGCGAACGCATCGCGCTTCTCCTCTGCGTGTCATAGTGCCTTTTCCTGCACCTTGACAACCGCTCTCTTGATCAGCCCACGGCATTCGTACCGATCAAATTTACCTCTTATTCCAAACACCTGAAATCAACATTAGTTCGTGATAAACTCACTTTATTCATGTCATAGTAGCGTAATTTCGGTTTGCCCGCGTGCCGCTTCCCTGCACTCATTTGGCCGTACAAAAGCTGTATGAGTATCGTCGTCGAATTCATTCGGTATACATGTACTATACATGGCTTGGCAGCATCGGTTTTTAGTGGCAGTTCGAATACAACTGTGTTCACTGTATCCTATATTCCTCTTTTATGTCACAAGCGAAATATCATTATCGATTGATCCATTTACTCCCTATTCCTCAAATTTCCCTATCAGGTATTCTGCTGATGACTTTACATCACTCTTTTGTTGTCTGTGGACGTTGTTACCTTTTTGTTGCTGTGTATGCACTTGCATCATGAAGCATCTTTTTCTCCATTTTAGCTCTAAATCATGCGAAAAGCCACTTCAGTTAGCATTCGGGTGATTTCCGATATCCTTTGTTTTGTTGTGCGTAAGTTTCGCGTCACTTTTCTGCTACGACCAAGTGTTCCTTGCCATGGGCGTGTTTCAGAACATTCAACCTTTTCGCCGCGGTTATTTCTCTCAGGATGAGAGTATTCGGCTACCATATCATCCATCGACTATTCCGTCCGTCGTTTTGATCTCGGTCACAATTACTCTCATTGTCGTGACAGTATGTGTCTCTCACAAGCTACTATCTTCCAGATAACGGCATCAGAACTGTGCATTTTCTGGGATCGCCTCACTGTTCGGAGGGCTGGATTGCCTATTGTAAGTGGGTGATCACAACGGTCCCAACTCGATTAAATCTATACATTTAATTTAATTGTTGCTTTTGTTTCACCCTTTAGGTGTTATATTCCTTGTACGATTATCTTTTGGCCGCTTTCTTTGGGTACTGTGCGAATATCACGATTACAGACGTGTGTAAAGTCGCGATTGGACGCCTGAGGCCCAATTTTTTCAGTGTCTGTGAACCTGTACCAACCTCTACCACCGCTTTGGGATACATTGCTAGCTATTCCTGTAAAAGTGGTACACCTAGAGACCACCGGGATATCACGTGAGTTGTCACAGTGTTTTCTGCATTCACCTATGAATTCTTTCTTGTTCATTCTTCTGAATTATAGTTTGTTCATGTGCTTTACTACCTATCTGGAACTTACTACCTCAGAATATAATCGGTTTATTTCTTCCTCGCTCAGTAACGACGGTACAACGAATTGCCTCCTCACATGTTGTTATGCTAACTTAAGCGAATTGTGGGTACCATGTGTAACTAATCGAACTGACAGCCGATTACTACAGAAGTGTCTCTGATACTTAAACTCTTGTCAGGCAATGTTTTTAATCACTGGTCTCTCATTCGCCTGACGTTATTATTATCAGGCATGTTTACCTTTGGCAACTCTAATTGCTAATCTAAACGTTCAGTCTCTATACAGTCTCTGGAACTCCTGGGTGTTCATCGACGCGTTCCGGTTGGAAGCAAACACAACGAAACTCTAAGACCTCAGGGCGAAACTGCGTGCAGTCAGTCCACAGCCTGCCAAAGTGCTTGTAACGTTGGGCCAAACACTTTGGAAAACAATTTAATCGATTGTTGTTACCAAATTCCTTATGTGCCATTGATCGCCCTTCTCCCTTAGGCCCACCCGCACACGGAGAAAGTGAGTGTAAGATCCTTCGGTTAAATTTTAACAAAACCGCATGAGCAGATAGACTTTCTCCAGTCCTCTCCAATTTCGTGGACCTGCTCTTGTGGATGAATTGCACTAATTATCGGTGACGCGAGAGCAGGAGACTGTCCCAACAAACTTGAACCACTCTTTTATAGTCCAAAATTCCAAGACCGACTCACGTTCAGAATGCGGCTATCATACAGCAGTCACTCTGATATCAATTATTATCGTTCACCATATTCCGACTGGCTTCCATGAAAACCAGATTCGCAAGGTACAAGCCAAGTTTCGTTGAACTCCCGGTTGCATTCAACACATATTCACATTACGTCGGTTGTTGGAATACCGCCATACTTATTGGCGACCTGCTTTAGTTGTGTCCCTCGACATCAAGGGTGTCTTCGAATCGGTAGGTCGATGTACTCTTTGGGACTGTCTGATCAGAGGTGTGCCCGATAAATATGTAAGTGTCATAAGGGCGCTGTAGACACTTATGGTAAACTATCGCCGCCCTTCCATATGTTCGGCGATGTGAGACAAGATTATCTGCTATCACCCTTCCCCTCTAATTTCAATATCGACGGAGTCATGGAAACTGCGTCCACCTTACCAGACCTACAAGGTGTGCAGCTTCTCCCATATGGTCAATTTTCTAACTTCGGGTACGCCAACAACTGTGCTCTCATCTGTGACGACTCGCAAACGTTCCAAGCAACACTGGACCAATTAGCACTGACTGTCAACTGGGCTATGCTTTGCAACCTCCATATACAATCCTCCAACATTGACACTAACTCTTGGTGCAGACCAGCTAGGAGTCATCAAGGAATTCAAGTACCTGGACAGATTTACTATTGCCTGTGGAATAGACGATGGGATCACTAACCACATAGCAAAACTCGAGATAGTTTTGTCAATCTCCGCCACCTGTGGCACGCCGGTGCGACATCACTCGCCCTGAAGTACAGTGTCTACCACGCAGCCGTTCGTTCAACCTTTCCATACAGCTGCGAAACCTAGGCCATCTGATATGGAGACAGACTGCGGCACTATAGCTAGGGTACTCCTCACCTTTACCTAACGTGTGATGGTGATTGTGATTTGACAAGTCTTTAAAATGTACAGAAAATGACTACTGGCTAGGTTAGTTGACCTATTTTGACAGCTTTTCGCCTGCGAGCTAGGGCCATTATCGTGGTTAGATGATCAAATTATGGTCAGCAGTGAAGACTCTTGGCGGTAGATTTGCACGGGAATGATTCTTATACGCGGTGCCTTAATTAGCCGCAGCAGTGCAGATAAACAAAGCTGATGTGCATTCTTGCTACTTGGTTGCTTTGCTCAACTTCACAATTAATTCTGGAACGGGAACTTCAGAAACATTTATGTATTGATGGCTGGTTAAGAGGAGCGACAAATCGTGTGCTTATAATTTATGGGTCTGTATATATAAGCCTACGATTTATGGGTCTGTATCATCGCAATGAGGCTGGACCTTACCGTGGTGCGATGGTTTGTGTGCCTCAGTGATCCATTAGCTATACTGGTTGGTGCATTTTCGCACCTTCAGAGTCAGTCATACCAGACTGGTCAATGGTTAGAGGCCAGACAAACTCAGCCTCCTGGTCCTCCAGGTTGGGGGTTGGAATGAGGGTGGCTCCTTATTCCTTAAAACGGACTCCTTGTAGCCCAACGCCAAACCCGCTGCCTTGCGGACAGGTTTTTGAACCAAAGGCTTTGGTTGAGAACCCTAGTCGTTCTCCTGTCTAGGCCTGTGCAACTTGACAGTATCCTGCCCACGCAATACAATTTCTGATGCTCTGGCCACTGCAGAGGATAATCAACGGTGCCCTATCTGCTGCATCGAGCAGGGTGGATAGGGGTTTGGATGCTACTGCTCAAGCCTTCCCGTCTTCTTATTCCTCCTCTTGCGCTTTTTCATCCTTATCGTTCCGTTCCAGCTTCACTTTTATCCCCCCTGTTTTCAACCCCCAATTCGGGGCCCTCCCCCATCTTGCTTCAATAGTCGCTTGTGTTTTAGTTTCAACTCACATGTGAACGCGGAGCATCATTCCGGCCCTGTCAACAGACCCATGTCCAACCAAGCGATGCACCCCAGTTCATCGGCTTCCATTTGGAGCCCTAGATCCTCATTCAGATTGGCATGCCTCAGTGTTCGCACATTGCTTCAGATCGGTCAACAGGCAGCACATGCCCGAACATTAGAGTCCCTCTGGATCGATATCTGCTGCTAATCGGAGACCCGCCTACAAGACTCGAGCTCTGTACTCACTCTGCGATCCCTTTCAGGTTATACTAGCAGCACTTTCTCATTGCGCCTATCCGGTGACGATGCAGCTTCGAGCACCGGTCAAGCCGGTTTTGGTATTGCCCTGAGTCTCCGGGCTGAAGCTACTCTGCTTGATTGGATTCCAATCAGTAGCTGGATGTGTGCGGTCCGATTGGCTGGCTCGTTCAAAACTTCGAAGTCGCGCGTGACTAACAGGTGTCTATTCGTTATCGCTGCCTATGCACCGACAAAGTGTAGCGATGACTCGGTAAAAGACGACTTCTATCGTCAACTGAACGAGCTCCTTAGCCATAGAAGAAACTCGGACACTGTAGTGCTGGCTGGGGATCAGAACGCTCAAGTTGGAAAATTATCCACTGATGAGCTGCATCTGGGAGGGCAACATGGTGTGGGCTCCTGTAATGCTAACGGTGAGCGGTTACTTCATTTGTGTGAAGATGCTCGCTTATTTCTTGAGAGCACGAATTTCAGACACAGCACCCGCCAGAGGGTGACTTGGCGCCCACCAGCCTCGAACCAGCTATGGACGCAAATCGATCACATTGCGATAAGTTACCGATGGAGACGCTGCGTTCAGAACTGTCTCTCGATTTGGAGCACAGGTGTGGATACCGACCATGCACTTGTATGTGCTGACCTGCGGATGCGCTTTGGCGGACGCCCACGACGACGCTGTAAGCGCATTGACATCAGCCAACTGGCGAAGCCAGCTGTTCTGAATGCCTATCAAAGTACGCTGTCATGCGAGTTGGATAAACGCTCACTGAATGCAATTGAAGGTCACCGGTCTCATATTTACCAGACCTTACTAGCAGCAGGAAAATCCTCATGTGGTATGTCGAATCACCAACACGGACATCGGGTCTCTTCACAGTCTCTGGAACTTATAGATGCTCGCCGGCATATTCCGGCTAAAAGCGAACACAATGACACTCGCAAAGAGCTCCGGGCAGAACTCCGCGCTAGCCTGAAGAGAGACCACGAATCCTGGTGGTCTCATCGTGCATCAGAGATGGAAATGGCCGTTGCCCTTGGAAACCATCGTAAGTTATTCCGTCTGATACGGGAAACGGGCAGCATGAGACCTGACGTTAGTGAAACTATACGTGACGAGAGTGGACAGCCTATCCACAACTTATCAAAACGCTTAGAGCGTTGGGCTGAGCACTTTACAAGGCAATTTAATCATTCGGAATGGTTAGATTTCTCGCTGGCCACTTATCGCCCCGCTTCCTGGGCTGTTCCTTTGGATCCACCCTCTCGCTCAGAAGTCGAACGTGAGATCGAACTGTTGAAGTTAAATAAAACCGCAGCACCTGATAATCTTCCTCCACCCCTCTTCAAATTCGGGGGACCCGCTCTTTTGGATGATTTACACGAGTTACTAGTGAAACTGTGGGATCAGGAAACTGTCCCAGCCGATTGGAGCCGCTCCGTCATACTCCCAATTTTCAAGGGAGGCTCACCATCGGAATGCGGCAGCCATAGAGGAATCAGTCTGATCTCCATCGCCTCCAAATTGCTTGTCTCTGTCATCCTTCACAGACTGACTGGCACTCGTGAAAGCCAGATTCGTGAAGAGCAAGCTGGATTTCGTCGAGGTCGTAGCTGCATTGACCACATTTTCACCTTGCGTCAGTTGTTGGAGCACCGTCACATATATTGGCGGCCCACCGTTGTCCTGTTCCTCGATAACAAAGTGCGTTCGATTCGGTGGATAGACATGCACTTTGGGACTGTCTACTCAGGAAAGGTGTACCTGAGAAATATGTGAATATTATCCGAGCATTATATGCGCGTAGCTCGGGCAGAGTGAGGGCTTACGGCAAGTTGTCGTCGCCCTTTGATATCTCCAGCGGCGTGAGACAAGGATGCCCGCTGTCACCTTTCCTCTTCAACTTCGCTGTTGACGAAGTCATGGAAATCGCGTTTACAGGACACGACTTAGAAGGTGTGGATCTGCTCGCAGGAGAACGACTTCTTGACTTAGAGTATGCTGATGATATTGTTTTAATCTATAACAGCTCACAAACGTGTCAAGCGGCACTGGACAGATTAGCATTAGCTGTCCGTCACCTCGGGCTTTGCTTCGCACCCTCGAAGTGCAAAGCGTTCCTCCAAGATTGGTCTGGACCGCCTCCTACGCTGACCATTGGTGGGGATCAGCTAGAAGTCGTTCAAAAATTCAACTACCTGGGAAGTTGTATCAGCGCCCGTGGATTGAGGATGAGATCACGAACCGTATAGCAAAAGCTCGAAGTGCTTTTCCCCGTCTTCGCCACCTATAGCGGCGGCGCGACATCACTCTCGCCCTGAAGGGTAGAGTGTACAATGCAGCGATACGTCCGACCCTACTGTACGGTTGTGAAACCTGGCCCCTTAGATTTACGTACATAAAGAGGCTAGTTACGTTCGACCATCGGTGCCTTCGCAGTTTGGCTCACATCTGGTGGGAACACCGCGTGAGCAGCGAGCGTGTTCGACGCCTTGTTTACGGCACAGGAAAAGGGAATGAACCGCTCAGCACCGTCATTTCACTCACCAGGCTCCGATGGCTCGGCCACGTGTTGCGCATGCCAGCCCACCGACTCCCTCGACGTGCGTTGTTTGCTCTCCGGGGGTGTGGATGGAAGAGGAGGTGGGGTGGCCAAGCGATGACTTGGTCGAGAGGAATGAAGGCCCTCACTTCTGAGCTGGCCTCGGTTGGAGCGTCTCGGCTCCCTGGTTGGGGTCCGAAAGACGATGAACACGTTTGGTTGGACACACTTGTTGATATGGCTAGGTGCTGACCTCAGTGGCGTTCGTGCTGTGAGTTTCTTTGTCCCACCCCATCCCTCTTAGCCTCCCCCCTCCAACCACGGTCTCATTATTTAGCCTTACATAATTTTGCATAGTAATTTTTTTTGCTGCATAGTAGCCGGCTGGTAGCTTACCGGAACGATGCCCATCTGTTACCGGTAGATCAGCCGGCTTGCACCAGTTGCATTTTTTCTCCTTTTTTCTGTGTATTGCGGCACAGTAGCTGAGGTGTTCCCCACTTCTAGCTAACGTGTGTGATGATGATGATGATATGTGTCTGTACTTCAACATGACGACTACGATGATGGTATTGTTACGACGTTGGAGGTTCCGTTACCAAACACCAGGTGACAGCACTACCCGCGACCCTACTGGCTTCATCCGATGTAGGGCACTCAGCTGTAAGCAATGCATGCAACCCTCCTTTCTTTCCCTTCAAGTCTCACCATGTGGCTTTTTTGCTACGCATCTGATGCGCTTGTGTGTGTGTGTGTGTGTGACGTTCGATAGCGAGGCCAACAGTCACTGTCACCGGACCTTTACTGGCTGGTATTGTTGCGTATACCTCTTTAACTAGTAATACTTTCTCTTGTCTGTCTGAGGTGCTGCATATTTCCTTGATTTCTTTATTTTTTCACTCATCGATTGGTCGCGAACACATTTGTTTTGATCCGGCACCCTTCCATAAAGCCCTCACTTCGAAGCTGGCCTCAGGTGGAGCGTCACGGCTCCCTGGTTAATGTCCAAAAGATGATGAACACGTTTGGCTGGATACACTTGCTGACATGGCTAGGAGCCGACCTCAGTGGCGTCCCTCCCCATCCTTTTTAACCTTCCCTCCAACCACGATCTCATTTCGTAGCATAATATAATTTTACCTAAGAATTTTATTACCTAGCAGCCGGCTGGTAGCTTTCCGTAACGATGCCCATCCGTTACTGGGAACTCAGCTGGCATGCATCTGTTTCGTCTTCTTTTTTTATGTATTGCGGCACAGTAGCTGAGGTGCTTCCCACCTCTAGCTAACCTGTATACTGATGATGATGGCACCCTTCTGTTCTGTATCTTTCACTTTGGTCATCCTCATCATCTTCTTGACTGTTTCATTTCCCCTCATTCCACTCTCTTCACAGAAAATCCTTCCCCTCTGGTCATTCGTCGCTGTCTGTCTACACCGCAGTCTTCTTGTGCGTAAGTTTATTGGTTCATTTACGGCGCTGTTCATTTGTAGCTGAATCAGCCGCTGTCATACAGGATGTTTTTGCTTTCTTACACTTATCAATTCACACTCTGCTTTTGGGTGGGCTGATGTTACCTTTATTAGCTTAATTGTAATGGAATTTAAACAGTGTCCACACCTACCTTATACCTTGTTGCCTCAGCACCATCACGTTTGGGCGCCTTGGCAAGATCTCAGCCCCCATCCAGCCATTTGCGACTGCATGACAGCTATGTGCCCGTTATTGTGCTGCTGCCGTTGTTGTTGTCATTTGCCAGCTGAGAATGTGCTTAACTCGTTACGTACCCATCCTCATTATCCTCCGCTGTGATGCACGAGGCGTTATCCATCAGCTGTGGGCCTCGGCTGGGTATGCGGTAACTGAATACTTCTCGATCGAGCAAAGTTCCTTTCTTTCTGCTCTCCAAGCAGTGCTTACCAGACCTATCCAAACCGGCGCTAATCTTCACATATTTCCGATCCTGTCACAATAAATCGGTATTGACCATGGTACCGAGCACAGAGTGTGGTTATATCAAGCTGGTAGTATCTTCACTCTTCACATGCATTCTATCAACGCTCACCTCATGCCATCCCCTCTGCTTGTGGCACAATAGTCTTAGCTAACTCGAGTTGCTTTGTGTCATTTGATTCTATGTGGGATTTTTCTCAACCGCGTCATTCAATTCCGCTCACACCTTTTGTATGTAATTGTGTGGTGCTCGGAGTACTCTGCTACATTTTTTGGGTAGTACTTTTGGGAAGCTCTACAATTCTTCCCATGATTAGTTCCATACCTTCGGTGTAATAGGTTGGCTTCTCCACAAGGCTATACAGCCCTGTTCGCTTGCGTTTGAAGTGAATATTTTCTCTGATTGTTGGCCACAGGCATCAGGGAATCAGATATACACCGACACACCGTACCGGCTCTTTGTTGCCACGCGACCACGTGGGCTGGGTGTGCCACGAGGTCGCCCTCACCTACGCGGATTCGAACCGGTGACCTCCGGATTACAAAGCAGGCCACCAGCTGACACCTTGGGGAGAGGAGAATAGGTTTTGTATGGTGATTTCAACTCCAAATTGTCTAACTATGGTTACTGGTAAATGCATATGGCCCTGCATCCCAACTGTCGCTGTGTCCGACGTGACATCTAGCTGACGCGATACCATCTTTCTTGTGTTTGGTGAGGCGAATTTCGCACGGACTTAGTCAAGTTGATACCTTAACCCCCTTCTTTTCTGGTTTTCTGCCGTGCAACCAGTTCCCACGATACATATTGCGAGCGGTTCAGTTAACCTAAATACTCTTTTCTTCACCCATCTGTTTTCCCCACACAGAGCTGAGATTTCTCCGAATCCCTCACAATTTGAACTTAGCACCGATTGTGTTGGTTCTCGTGAAGATATCAGAACTGTTTCTGATCCGATCACTATAGATCTGGTTTGAGCTCTTCTCTTTGTAAATACACAATCGGGAATTATGCGAGCTGAAGTGTTTGAGATCTAGTGCCAAAGTCCTTCGTTTTGCTACCTGGTTTCGGTCGCTCATGTGTGTGTCGGTCACTGCTATCTATGACCAGTGTGGTATGGCTGCAGCACTTGGTTCTCATCCTCGACAATCACTTGGACGATTCAAACCCAACGTTTCAGTCCTCAGAGCGGTTATTAGCGTTTCGCTGAGATCATGGAAGGTTTTACGGTACCAAGTCACTGATCGAGGCAGTGTGGTTTCTGCCCATCAATAAAGAGTAATGCTGCCATCTACAGCATTCCAACATCCACTGCTTAGTGAATACGCTGGGTGACTACGCTGCGGGGTTTTTGAATCCTACATGTCTGTGGCACCGCTTAAGTATCGCTGGTTTCAATCAGTTGTTGCTTTGCATAAAGCTATCCTACCCGCGTTGATTCTTTTTTTGAGGTTGGACACCGTGCGCGCTAAGCATCGAACTTTTCTTTAGCAAGTCTGCGAACCGTTTGCCTCCGTTACCCGCTGGGGGGACATGGCAAACTGTAAAGAAGCTTTGGTCCTTTTAATCCGCCACATAACACCATAATGACATCAGAGGTGTTGTTGCGCTCTTTCCTTGGTTTTCAAACATTGCCCTTTCACCCGGTATTTTGTCCTTTTCACTTCCTTTGTTTGGTTTATTTTTCTTCTCCCTCACACTGTCATACTCTAGAATATCTGGTCTGTAAGTTTCATTCCCATCGCAACGAGACTAGACCTTGAGGCGGTGCGCTGGTTTGCATACCTCCTTGACCCATTGAGCCATGCTGAGTGACACTTGCCAAGTGCCTTCAGAGCCACTCATACCGGACAAATCAATGGCTAGGAGTCAGACTAACTCAGTCTTACAATCCAATCTTCTTCGGAGTGGTGGACGGCACTCCCGTTTAAACCTAATCACAGGAGAAAACAGGTCTACTGATTATAAGCTCATTGCTCGATTGGCGTGGAGCACGAGCGCCACGCATGGTCTCTGACGGTGTGAGAGTACCTTCAGGTGCTCATTGGTTTGCTACCGCCCGCCTCAAGCCAGGCAGCACCTGGTCAAATTATTGCAAACGCGCCAACTCCCACCTGCGGATGGCCGTGATCACAGGTGTGTAATGTAATACGGTCATAAAACACATGTGAATTGTCCTAAATCTTCAAAGGTTGTGTGTAACAAGCCTCAAGCAAATTCCACTAGCTCTCTGCAATCACAATCCCGTGTTGGGCCAAGCTGTCGAGCTAAAGGCTTCGGGTGGAAATCCTCAATCGAAATTCTATGTACCCCATTGCCTTGTGGGTCAGACTGCTGAGCCGAAGGCTAGGGGTATGGCACCTCGAACGAAACTCCTGTCTTGGAATAGGCAGTCGGAGAGGATCATCTGACCTCTCTTCTCCATCGACAATACTCCCTCTCCTTTTTTATTGCCCCTCAGCTCTCTTCCCCGTCTGTTGAACAAGTAACTGCCGCTGACATCTCTGCTATTGTCATCGATACTTGTAACTCGTCCATCAAGCCACGAGTCTCATTTCACATTGGTTCTTTTAACGTCCGCACTCTGGGTCAGATCGGTCAACTGACAGCACTAACTCTCACTCTTCACTCTCTTGGTACTGATGTGTGCTGTGTCTCCGAAACGCGCATACAAGATAACAGTGTTGTGACGCATCTTCGACTTCCTAGTTCTGAATCTGACGACAATGATTACACTCTTCACGTCTCTGGTGGTATTGCTTTAATGGCGCAGGGTATTTACGGTATTGGTATCGTCTTCGGCAGAATTGCTGAAGGTGATTTACTCGACTGAATACTGGTGAGCATCCGCATGTGTACGGTTCAACTTCGAACCTCTATTAGAGTTAAAAAGCACCGTATAGAGGCAAGGTGTCTATCCATCGCCACTGTTTATGGCGCTACTGAATGCAATTCAGAGGGTATCAAAGACGATTTCTATCGACAGCCCACATCTCCGCATGGCAAACCATGCTGACATCGTGATTATTGCTGGTGACTTGGATGTCCAAATGAGTGATCTTCCAGACTCTGAACAGCACCTGAGAATGCGCTTCGGGGTCGATGCACTTTGAACAGACAGTGGTGATCGATTCCTGCACCTCTGCGCCAGCACAAACACTCACACCGCGTCACCTGGCGTCCACTGAATTTCTCAATCACCTTGACTCAGATTGACCATATTGCCATCAGTCCAAGACTGTCGGTCGTTTTGGAGCACTTGCCTACATTCCGACTATGCTGTAGTGCGCGAACGTCTGGCACACACTCTTCCCGCTTCAAATAAGCGCATATCCTTTAATCTTCTTACTTATGACTTTCTTGCAATCTGCGGTTCGACAATATCATAGCGAACTGGCTCACTAAATGTCAGTGATGAATGAGGTTGATGAGCCGAACGCTGACTGGAGTCGTCCCAAGTGTGCCATGAAGAATGACTTTGACGCCTGCTGTGCACCCGACTTGAGACATCGTAACTGTGAGCAGTCTGATCGAAGCGCGTAAACAGGTTCCGATATGCACGACGTTTCAACGTGTCCGTAACTCGTAACCACGTAACTCCGTAACCACGTCTGACAAGGAGTTTTCGAGCCGACCGGGAACGGCGCTGAGTTGCAAATGCCCGTGAGATGGAGAAAGACAGTGCTATTGGAAACAGCCGAGTGCTATTCCAGCTCATTCGGAACGCAGCTCCGACAAAGCCGACAGTTAGCGAGACAATTGCCGAGGTAGATGGGCGGTTGATTCATTCACAGCTTCGTTGACTAACACTTTGGGCGGAACATTTTTAGAAGCAATTCAGCAGGCCTGCTGCAACACTGCGGCTTGCCGAATCAACTGAGCCTACATGGGAAGTAGATGTGACACTTCCCACTTTGGAGGAGATTGTACATGAGCTTTCCGTGTTGAAATGAAACAAGGTTCCTGAACCCGACAACCTTCCTCCATCTTTGCTGAAAGCTGGAAGTGACTCTTTCTTGTCTGGTCATGCTTCTCTTTTTAACACCACTTATGACGCTGAAGCGGTGCCTTCAGACTGGCGGCTGTCAATTGTCGTGCCCATCTTCAAGAACCGTCAGCGCACTTTATGCGCAAATCATCGAATCATGAGTCTTGTTTCCGTGGCCTCCAAACTTCTCACAGGTATCAGTGACTTACTGGTCCCCATGAGAACCGAATCACTGAAAGCCAGGATAGCTTCCGCCCTGGTCGTGATTGCCTCGACCACATATTTTTTCACCGTTTTAGAGCAGAGACAAATACAGACGACCAACTTGACTTGAAAGGCACCTTTGACCGCGCCAACTTGTGGCACCGCCTGTCCAGGAAGGGTGTACTAACGAAACTGCTTTCGATTCCGAAGTCTCTACGGTGATACCTGAGACCGTGTGAGGGTCTGCGGGAAACTATCTCCTGAATTCCCTACGACGGTTGGGGTTCGTTATCGTTGTCCTATATCT